CCTCTCCACCGGCCTCCTTACCTCCCCACCTGCGCCCCTACCTCCCCACCTGCCTCCCTACCTTCTCACCTGCCTCCCTACCTCCCCACCTGTCTACCTACCTCCCCACCTGCCTACCTGCCTACCTGCCTCCCCACCTGCCCACCAACCTCCCCACCTCCCCACCTCCCTACCTCGCTCCCTCCGTACCTCTCTGCCTGCCTGCCTGCTTGCCTGCCTGCTCACGTGCCTGCCGCCCGCCTGCCAGCCCCCCGACTGCCTGGAGCCTGTCTGCCTCCCTGCCTCCCTGCCTCCCTGCCTGCCTGCCTGCCTCCCTACCTCCCTGCCTGCCTCCCTGCCTGCCTGCAGGCCCCCCTGCCCCCCTGCCCGCATGCCTGCCTGCCCACCTCCCTGCCTGCCCACCTCCTTGCCTGCCTCCCTACCTGCCTCTTTACCTGCCTCCCTACCTACCTACCTCCGTACCTCCTTGCCTGCCTGCCTACCTGCCTACCTACCTACCTACCTACCTACCTATCTATGTGTCTATCTATCCATCTATCTACCCAATCTATCAATTTAATCTATCTATCTAATCTAATCTATCAATCAATCAATCAATCTAGTTGATCAAGCAATCAATCCACCAATCCATCACTTCAGCAATCCATCCATCCATCACTCAATCAATCAAATCTACCAATCTAATCTAATCTAAACAGATCTATCGATCTAATCAAATCAATCGATCAATCAATCTATCAATCTACCAATCCATCAATCTATCAATCCATCAATCTAATCAAACGTATCTATCTATCTATCTATCTATCTATCTATCTATCTATCTATCTATATATCGTCAAACAAATATGTATATATATTGTCAAACAGAACTGCCCAGTAAACATCGGCAAAGAGGGAGAGGAAGACAACAAACGAGGGGCTGTGACAAACTTCTGATGAGTTGGTGAAACTCCAACGAAACAGTTTGCCACAGCCCCTCGTTTGTTGTCCTCTTCTCCCCTTCCCTCTCTGCCTACGGTTTACCGGGCAGTTCTGTTTGATTATATTTATACATTATGGCACACAGGGGTGCGGGCAGCTCACGCTCAACTTCATCAACGTGGCGAGCTTGTACGTGAGCGGCATAGTGAAAGGGAAGTTGAAAAAAGAACGATAAAAATGAATGGTTTCAATGTGCTCTTCATGTTTGTCCTGTGTTTTTTTCATCGTTTGTTTCTCAAAGTGTGCTCTTCTAGTTCATATATATGTATAGATATGCAGAAAAGTTCCCAGTGGAAGTGTTCCCCGCCGACCGTCATGCAATCATGGATTGTCAATATGTCCCCCCGCAAAGAGAAGGAAGAACCGCATGCGAAGCGGTATGGTTCCATTGTGCTCTTCATTTTTGCCTTGTACATTTTTATCCTTGTTTGGTGAACTGCGCTCTTTTAGTTGATAGATATGTGGCAATATATACATATCTATATGTATGTAGATTATATAGATAGATAGGTAGATAAATAGATAGATAGATAGATAGATAGATAGATAGATAGATAGGTAATCTGCCAATACTATGTATCTTGCTGAGAGAGAGATTGTTTCTGAGGGATTTGCGGTGGGCCGAGTTGATATGTGGCTATATACACACACATATATACCGCCGGATTGATATGTGACTATAAATATATATGTGTGTGTGTGTGTAGCCACATTTTAATACGACCCGCCGCAAATCACTTAGAAACAATATCCCTCTCAGCAAGATACGTAGTATTGGCAGATTACTCATCTATCTATCTATCAATCTATATAATCTATCTATCCATATCTATATATATACATATAGATGTATGTGTATACATAGCCATATATCTATCAACTAAAAGAGTGCAGTTCACCAAACAAAGGATAAAAATGTACAAGGCAAAAATGAAGAGCGCAATGGAACCATACCTCTTTGCATGCGGTTCTTCCTTCTCTTTCCTTTCAAGTACAAGGCTCACCACATTGATGAAGTTGAGTGCATGCAGCCCGCAATCTGTGGCCCTGTTGGGGAAAGATGGTAGGATCAACGCTAAGGCCCTAGGTTCCTTCCTCGAAACAATGCTAAGCTCCTAAGTCCATTCCAGGCACCAAGCAAATTCCTAGCATCAAGTAGAAGTTAAGGTCCGAGGATCAAATCTAAGCACCTTGGTTCCTGCCTCGTAACAATGCTAAACTCCTAAGTTCCTTTCCAGAGACCAAGCTAAGTTCCTAGGATCGACTAGAAGTTTTGCTCCTAGGTTCCCCCATCGATACTAAGCTCCTATGTTCCATTCCAGGGACTAACCTAAGTTCCTACATTCCTAGGATCAAGTAGAAGTTTTGCACCTAGGTTCCTTGCTCGGAACAACGCAAAGCTCCTAAGTTACATTCTAGGGACCAAGTTAAGCTCCTAGGATCAAGGAGACGTTTACCTCCCAGGATCAAGGCTAAGTTCTTTAGTTCTGCTGCAGGAACCAGCCTAAGCTCCTACCCTCCTAGGACTGAAGCTCCTGTGTTCCTTCATAGGGACAACGCTAAGCCCCTAATTTCTGCTCAAGGAACCGAGCTGACCTGATTGGCTCAAGTAGACGTTCCGCGCCACCTGCTACCAAGGCCTTAGCGCAGTGGGTAGAATACCCATGTCGGATGCGGCAATGAGCATTGTGGCATAAGGTTGCAGGTTTGCATCTTCGGCCCCGCAACTCTGCGCATCCGGACGGAAGGCGTCAACCAACGCAGGCCAGTGGTACACTGGTTATGCAAGTGGGCCGATGCTCAGTGGCAGAGCACTGGTAACAATCTGCACATTGTGGTCCCAAGTGACAGGGTCGAATCTGTTCAGCTACAGCTGGCTCTTCGGCTTCTGCCCCCTGTGTGCTTTTGGGCCGGAGGGCGTCGTCCGACGTGGCCACTTGCAACCCCTGGGTTGTGCTGCTCTATTAAGGGATTGGGTGGGGTTAGGGGGTGATTTCAGTTGGGGAGGGTAGTGGGGGGGATGCCAGGGCATGCTACCTTCCTAGCAGACATGACCGTGCGCCCCTACAATGACAGGCGGCAGTTGTTCATGGAAGTCTTCTGGCAGGTCTCCTTGGGGGTTTAAGCTCGCGTCTGCGTTTGATTGTGGGGTGCCGAGTTGCTGGCGATCGGGAAGCGCTGATCCAAGATTTACACTCCCCCGTGTGCATGGTCGAGGATGAGCTCTGTTCTTGAGAGTCTCCTGTGTGGTGGGTGATCCCACTTCGCCGTCCGGTTGGGTGGACTCAACGCGTCTACCCTCCTGGCAGACACCCTCCCTTGGCACTATCACTCACATCCCACACAACCGTTTGAGAAGTTTCGCGTCTCCTGGGTTTCTCCCTGGGAATGAAGCTTACCCTCCTTGGTTCCTTCCTAGGCACAAAACCAAGCTCCTAGCTAAAGGTACTTCTTAGCATGAAACATAACTTACTTCTCACAAATAAGGCTAAGCTGCTAGAATCAGGGATTAGCTCCTTGAGAAACCAAAACAAAGAAGATTAGCTCTTATTAACAGAGTTTGACCACTTAAAAAAAAAAAAAAAAAAAAAAAAAAAAACCACAGAGTTTGACCCCTAGGAGCACAGATGATGTCCTTGAGAAGCTGCCCACTTTCCCGGAATTGAACACACGGCCATTGTAGCTGTGTTTGGGGCAACTTTCAGTCGAACTGTGTGTTCTATTTGGGAGAAGGTGGTAGTCTCCAACCTGTCTGGCCATCATATTATGACAAGTGGGAAAAGGCCCTTTTTTTTTTACTTTGCTTTTGTGTCCCTCCCCCACCCCCACCCCTCTCCCTTTCCTTTCCGTCTTCACAAACTAGTTATGCCGATCTATTGGTGGGGAGCCGCACCTGCTGGAAGCTCGCTCCAGCATCGTTCATCTCTTCCAAAATGCCATTGAATAAGAAAGATACGACACACCACCCTCCTTCGGCCAATCATATTACATGACAAGGGAGCCCGTGCGCCGCCTGCGGGACAGGGGATCAAGCCTCAAGGGTCCCTTAGAAATGTCTTTAGATACAACAAGGATTGCTACTACTCACCTTCTCTTTGGTACTAGTTATTGCTGAACCAGGCAGCACTGATTACCCCCCTCCTCCCTCCCAGCCCCCAACTGCGAACGAGTTACAGCCAGGCTATGCAATGACAATTAGAATTACCTGACCCAGCCTCTTCACCTGGTGTCCAACGTTTCCAAGGTTTCCGAAGTTGGTTCCTCCTAGGCATGAAGCCAGTTGCCTACAATCTGAAAAAAAACGCCCTCCGATCAAATAATAACTTAATAAGTGCTATGCACAGGCATAAGATCACTGAGAAACTTGCCTCCAAATTTCCACCCATCATATCACTACATAACAAGAGGCAGAATGGGAAGAAGACGAAGACTGACAGTGGCACAAAAAACATGACTAGACCATTATCATAGTGACATCATCTGCAGCCAGTCCCCTTAAACTACCAGTAGTTTTCCCAGCCATTTTTCTCCGATGCGCCTTTTGTGTGGTGCTGCAACTTTCCGGGTTCGGCAGTCAGAACAGCCAAAACAAGGCCCACGCTCGCTCATTCGTTTTTTCTTCGCGTGCAGGGCGTATGGAGCCCTGGGCAAACAGTGGCTAGGAGGAAGTACTGGCGGTTTAAATCACCACTACGTCTGAGGCTATTTTCTATGAGCCTCCAAAGTGCTGCGCGGCAAGAGAAAAGGGAGTGGGGCGGGCACTATTATTTTTCTTTTCGGCTAGAGGCACCAGCCATTTTGGTCCAGTAGCCCCAAATTCCCAAACTTTCAGACATATATGTTCTCAGTCACTTCTCACTGACTCAACTTGCTTGGGGTGCGTAGCGGTTGTTCAGGGGACCAATGCATGATGATTTACTACAAGTTAAAACTTAATATTATTGGTCTTGCATTCTGACATCAGCTTCCAAGGTACACTCACTCTGAGTCCGGTTTTTCATTGTCCTTTTTTCGTCGAGTTATCATGATCGTTCTTCCCACTTGAAGATCCTTTCTTGTGGAAGTGGAAGAGGCCCTTTGATCAGACCACCGCGGCCCCCAACAACAGACTGTGCCCAGACCAGCGCTTACACCACCGCAACCTTGGGATGTGATGCGGGCAGTCGTGGTTCGCATGCATTCGAGTTGTGTTCTTGCCTTGAAGTGGATGTGGATGACCAACCATCGTTCGATTAAAACGCTGCTGTCCCCAGAGCAAAGTAACCAAGCTGTGCGCCGGCCACCGATTATACCGCCGCAACCTTCGGATGCGTCGTGGGCAGTGCTGGTTTGCATGCATGCATGCATTCAACTTGTGCTCCTTGCCTTGACATGGATGACCGCGCATCGCTAGTTAATTGCTCCGCGAGCTCTCAGCTTGATCTCTTCGAAAACCCTTCAGTGATATTTGAGCCATACTCTTGGCTTTTGCAGTCTGCTGCTTAAGCTGTGACAGGTTAAGGCTATTTAAGAACTCCGTCAATGTCAGATCTTTCAATATGTTGGTGTCGGTGTTACCGAAGATTTCTTCAACTTGCTGCACAGAAACAGAGACACCCAATTTTTCACCATTACATGGGGGAGGATGAAAGGAGTTATGAACAGTCCTGACCCCCCCAAGAATCAGCCACAAGCAACAGAGTTGATGCCAAAACAAGCAGATTGCAAGTTTGCAACGCATGCATTTTGTTTTCTTCGTTTCGAGTCTTTTGACCCACAAGGATTTTCTTCAACTTGCTGCAGAGAAACCGAAACACCCAATTTTTCAGTGTTACATAGGAGATATCAAGAGTCCTGACTGGCCTCATACTTCCTTCTTTTTTTTGGACCCCATGCAGTGCATGCACCCTTTTTTTTGTTTTGTTTTTTTCACCCTCAGCATCTCTGAAGTCGAAACATGAGTTTGCCGTGTTAGGCAGGGGGTTCAAGGGGGCGTTACCCCCGAGTAGGAAGTAGGGGTAGGTAGACTTCAGCTTTGCATGCTGCCTCTTTTGTGGCTTGTTTGTTGTTTGGTATAAGTTCATTGGTTGGTCCCTCTGGCAGAGTAGGCCTGTCAGTTTAGGGTAATTATCTTTGTTGATTTTAGCAGGATAGTGCATCCTGCGTTTTGTTGGATTTTGCCTGATGTTCTTTTGGGCCTGTTTTGTTGTTGGCATGGGCAAGTGTCGTTGGGGAAACCCACTTCTGCTCCTGTGTCAACATCCCAGAGGTGACAGTTCCTTTTTTTTTTCCGGGTTGTTTGTGAGGAATTCCCGGCCTCATGGATATTTTCATGATAATTGGACTCCTCACTTTTCCCAAAAA